GGGCAGACGAAATAAAGAAAATGGAGATGGGCTGTTCTGGCTCATTGAAGGGATACCGACCGGACGGTGAGCAAAAGCAAGAAGATGTCAAAAACGTTTGCTTGCTCGGCCGTGGGTCAGTCAACGGTGCAGTCGCAGAGGAATGGAGATTAAACAAAATGAGAAAGATGTGAAATCCATCCGTCAAAGCACCCCGAATAAGAAAGACCTGCGAGAGGTTTTGAGACATGCTCCCTTGCGCCGATCCGACAGTTTGGTTGATTGATTCTTATCATAAATGGGAGGAGAGAGCAGAAATTCTACTGGATTCATGGGCGGTTCAGCTCCTCTGGTGCACCAATGAGTCGACAACGGCGATGCAGTGTTTATGGGCCGAGGTTGAGGTCTAACAGGTAAGGTTGCTTCCTTGCCGATGTCAGGGGAAGATGAGACGTAACAGGCCTCAGAGGAGCTCCGTGCGCCGGGACGGAAGAACAAGCCAGGAACGACAGCGGGGACTCGGCGGCGTGCAGTGGAGCCATCCGGATCCGGGCGGTCTAAAGCAGGGCTTCGCTCGGCTCCGATACGGCATGACTTCAGGGTCACGTGTATGGACCGGAACGGTACAATATTGCTTCCGGTAACCCCACTTGGGGATTAGAAGAAGGGAAGGAAAGAAGGACGGGAAGGGACCTGAGTGACGTCGGTCGGACCCTCTGCACCTGGGGACCCTGGATCTCCGGCAAAACTCTGGCCAAAAGTCGCCCGCTCTCTTTCCTGCTGTCAGTCACTCGTCGTACCTTAGCGTGTGAGCGTTCGAGCGTGCAGTTCCAGGCCCGCCACGCCCCACGAATTGTGGGGATCTCTACCGTTGCACACCAACATTCTCAGCCTTCTCTCCGCCGTTACACGGCCAACCCACTGCTACCTTGGACTGCTGATCCCATTCCCGTGATAGCTCAGCAACACACCTCCCACCGATAACCTTCAAACACCTCCCATCTGCAGCCAGGGTCTTGGATCTGCTGATTCTCGATCTTTGCTTCCATTCTACACCGAGCCACGGCCCTCACAGCTCGACTAATCCCACCGCCACACCTGTATGTCAGCGACAGTTCCTCCCTCCGCCTTTTGCTGAGCTCGAGCCTCGCCTCTCCCAAACCGACGCCGAACCCCGCTGCTCGGCTTGACTAGAGCTCACCAAAAACGAACAACGATACTACACGATATCTGTGGTGTATGTCTTCTACAGATCCCTCAGATCACTCCTCCGGCCTCTCTGGCGCCCCCCAGAATGACACTGCCGCCGCCCAGGTGACGAGCGCCGAGACCGCGGGGTCCAAGGCTGAAACGGAGCTGCTCAAGCTTGACCACCATGTTGAAGACAAACAGCCCGTGCTGTCAGCAAAAGCAGCAGGCAAACAACAAGCGACCGACGATCTGATCGATTTTGGCGAAGACGCCCCGGTCACAACGGCCACCACGAAAGATGACCCAAGCGTGGGCGATAAACCTCACAAGGACTCGCCCGAGACCGTGTCCAAACCTGCTCCCGTGACAATTCCGGAACCGATGAGTTCGTCAATAGCGACCTTGAAGCCCACAAGTCCTCTTCCTGCCGAGACTGCCACACAGTTTCTTACTATCGAGTCCACTACATACGTCGATCCAACACCTCCAACCCCGAGAACATCCCAGCCTCCCTCTCGAACCCCCTCAAATGCCAAACGCCGACCTACCTCTGCATCCCCTACACGATCTGATGCTGGCTACGACGAGCGCAGATATGCAAGCGAAGATGAGCAAGAGAATGGGTCGCGATCCGAAATCCAGAGTATCATGGAGCAGTTTACTGGCGACGGTGGGGGTCCTGGAGCTGAAGAAGTCATGAGCCCAAGGCTGGAGATTGCTTCGCCTATGCTAGGTAGCCCTGGCATACAGCATTCACCTCGGAAGTCTAGCCTCGAGCCACTGGTACCCTCACTGTCACACCAGGTACAGGAGCTTCAGGGTCTAAGAATACAATCAGCCTCCCCAGCTAGCATGTTCTCCAAAGAAAGAGCACCTGATGACCAAGGGCCGCCAGTGCCTCCTAAAGACGGGCCACCGGCGACACCGGCGCGGTCCCACGATGATCGGCAGATGAGCATCGACTCCCAGATGTCTCCTGGTATGCCCGTACATAGGCCGCCACCCCCTGAACCCGAGCCAGAGCCGGCGCTGCCATTCGACTTCCATCGGTTCCTAGAACAACTACGAAACAAGAAGGCGGACCCAGTCGCTAGATACCTCAAGTCCTTTTTATCAGAGTTTGGAAAGCGACAGTGGATGGTACACGAGCAAGTCAAAATCATCAGTGACTTCCTTGCCTTCATTGCCAACAAAATGGCGCAATGTGAAGTGTGGCGAGACGTTTCCGACGCAGAGTTTGACAATGCTCGTGAAGGAATGGAGAAGCTGGTCATGAATAGGCTCTACACACAGACATTCTCACCGGCAATTCCTCCTCCACAGCCTATACCTGGGGCGAAACCGAAAAGACGAGGCGGGGAGCGACCAATGGGGCCTGGCCGGCGTGGTCAACACCAAGAGGACGTGGAACGAGATGATATCTTGACACAAAAGATCAACATTTATGCCTGGCTTCGGGAGGAGCACCTTGACATACCGCCAGCCGGTGATAGCGGCAAGCGATTTTTGAAGCTCGCCCAACAAGGTACCTACTCGCCCAATCTCAACATAGCTCTGACCGCTGACTGTGCAAAGAAATCCTTAAGATCAAGTCATATCGAGCGCCGCGAGACAAGATCATTTGCGTATTGAACTGTTGCAAAGTTATCTTCGGTATGTCGCTATTCTTCATCATGTCGCTACTTTGGGGACTGATCTTTGATAGGCCTGCTCAAGCACTCAAAGTCGGACTCTTCAGCCGACTCGTTTATGCCCCTCCTCATCTATGTTGTCCTCCAAGCCAACCCTGAACATCTGGTGTCAAATGTTCAGTACATTTTGCGGTTCCGAAACCAGGAGAAGCTGGGTGGTGAAGCCGGATACTACCTTTCATCACTGGTAGGTCACATTGTGACTGTAGCTACGCTACACAATGCTTACGTGACGTAGATGGGTGCCATTCAGTTTATCGAGAATATGGATCGGACAACCTTAACCATCACCGACGAGGAGTTCGAGAAGAACGTCGAAGCAGCGGTATCTGCGATCGCTGAAAAACACCGTCTTGACTCGCCCGCTGTTGCTCAAGAACCCGTCTTCTCGGAGAAGTCATCAACCGGGTACCAGACCGGGGAATCTTCGACGAGGCCTTCCCTAGACATCATGGGAGAGTCGTCTACACCCCGTCGATCGACGTCATCGAACGAAGGCGGAAAAGAATCAGACGACCAAGCGCCCATAACGGGGCTTCTTCGTTCCATACAGAAGCCTCTTAGCACAATCGGCCGCATGTTTTCGGATGAGCCGTCTCCTGCGCCGCCTGTACCTAGTAACGCATCAAGACCAACGTCGAGGCCGCGAGAATCCTCCGAGCGACTGTCGCCTAGGCCGAGCGCCGAGATATCACCCGATGGGCGGCCACCATCTTCCCGTCACCACCTGTCAGCGGAAGAAGCTGCAGCGAGGCAGGCAAGCGCCGAAGTTGCTGAAGCTCAGCGTTTGAGCAGGGTAGAGCACAATAACGTTGTCGAGACTCTGCAAGGGATGTTTCCCGATCTTGACAGGGAGATCATTTCGGACGTGGTACACCAGAAACAGGGAAGAGTCGGGCAAGCTGTCGATGCCTGCTTGGCCCTGTCCACTTGAGGATAAGGATTAGTTGCATCAATAAAGTTATCGCATCCTCTTGACGATCTAAGAACCGTTTCTCAGCCGGGTGTATGAGTGACGTTGATTTTGCGCGGCACTTGCTTCCCTCATCGATCAAGTTTTCACCGTTGCATGAGTGGCTAGCTGAGCGCGAGGCTCCATGATTCAATTAACCTCTCGAAGAGCCCTGAAGGCGTCCCTGGGGGTCCCTGGCGTATCAAATTCGGTCCGCACCGCACCAAGGGAGGGAAGCAAGGGGAATGGTGGCGTGTGGTATTGCTATGCGTGGGCTCACGTGGATTCAACCGCTGGAATGTGAGCAGGTTACACGGTCTGGACGGTTCATGTTACACCCGACCCTGCTACCCGGTTTGCTGGCACACGGTTTTTGCCAAGTATCAACATGCCGGTAGAGGCTACTTTGACCTGGAATACGAGCCGGCGGGTTTGTCAACATTTAGCTTCAAGCATCATTCAAAGGGAGCAAAGAGTCCGAGAAGACCCACCGTATTAACTCACTTTGGATGGCAGGCATCGTGAAAATGGAGCGAGCTATTCAGGGCTGAAGCGGTTTGGAACGCAGGTTTGCTTGCCTCCTTGCCAATTTAGTCCAAGAAAGACTTTATCCTGGACCGAATTGCCCAGGATTCAGGGTCCAAGGTCTGATCGAGACACAGACTGGAACCTGGATTAGAATTAACGTCTCAGCCGTTCACGATGAGGGCCTCTCCCGCAATTTTAATCCGCCGTGATCATCATTTCTCTTTTTGCCTCCTCTCCGTGCCTTACCATCTCCCCCCCTCTCTGGTCGGCCCTCGAGTCGGGCCTTGGGCGCGAGAGGCGTTCATATCGGATGATGTGCTAGACGCGTTTTGTTATGTAGTTCCATGCCAAGAACTGAACCGAGTTCGAAAGGACTCAGCCCAATTTGATGATGTTCCGAAGCAGCTGAGCCGGATTTCGATTCCATGTGATGCCATCTAGGTTACCACGGCCCGATCAAATACCTGGCCAGATCCTCCGGCTCCCTGGCGCCCCTCAGCTCAGGATTTCCTCTGCATGTCAAATCTTTTGCAAGTTACCGCCTGTCAATGGTACTCCAACTCAGGCATACCTAGCCACCCTCGCTTTTGCACCAGAGGGAGGGCACTGCTGTGAACCGTTCGTCTACTTTTACGACCTTCTGTTAATCATAACTGAGCATGCACATACCTAAGTTCGAGATCCTGGCCGCCGGCCTGGGACTCATATCACCCGTCGTTCACGCAGTAACACAGGCCTCACCACAGTACAACTTTATCTACGGCGCCTGCGGCAAGATCACGAACTTCGCTTCAGTCTTTCCCTATGTCACCTCTTACAGACAAGGCGATGTCATCGGCTGCCAGAGCGATTGCAGCTCCTACGGCTCTGCGTTCTCTGCTACGGGAAACGACGGAGGTCAGCAGTGCTGGTGTTCGGATCCTAACACCCCGAACAGCTCACCGAGTCCTCTTCTCGCATCGGTGCCAAACCCCAACGCCGCTCTTTGCAACGTTGCTTGCGTCAACAACAATACATACGCTTGTGGAGGAACTTATGGAAGCGATGTCATCTATAACGTCTATGGGGTTCGCCAATTTGCTTACCAGTCTACCACTACATCATCAACCTCCACCAGCACGTCCAGAACTTCGACATCGACGTCCTCTACTAAAACCACAACGACCACAACGACCAGCAGCAGCTCCACAAGGTCTACGACTACCTCTTCCTCGACGTCTTCCACGCGGACTTCGACTTCAACCACCACAAGTGCGGCACCAACCACCACCCTCCAACACAGAGCTCCTCGCTTCCGTTACAGCTACAGAGGGTGCGGTGCCATTAGCAACTTTGGTACTGTCGGAACAAACTACGTTTACGCGATTGGCAACACTACACAGTGCCAGCAGAGCTGTAGTTCTTTCGGGTCAAACTTTGCTTTCATAGGCAGTTACCAACAGTGCTATTGTTCCCCCCCGAGTCCGAGTTCTTCTCAGGATATCAATCCCATCTTCTCGACTGGACCCGATGATAATCTGTGCACGACATCCTGTTATTTTGATACTGGATACTCTTGTGGTGGTCCAAGTACTGGAACTGTTATCTACGAGGTGTTTGCAGTGAGGGCTCTCGGGGTCTCATCTTCGAGTTCGTCCTCGACCTCTACTACTTCAAGTTCATCGTCGACCTCAAGTACAACGACTACCACCAGCTCCTTCAGCTCCTCTTCTAGTTCGTCGTCGTTGTCGTCAAGTGGGAATTCGACCACTAGCACGACATCCAGTACCTCAACGTCCTCCAGCAGGTCATCAACGACCACAAGTACGACTTCGTCATCGAGTAGCTCGTCCACGAGCTCCTCCTCCTCCTCATCTTCTTCCTCCCGCTTGTCGTCATCATCATCATCATCTACGCGTTCCTCGACGACTTCAACTAGCACAGGCTCGTCTTCTACTTCGTCGATCACCTCATCCCCTTCTTCAAGCCCCAGCAGTTCCAGAACGAGTACATATTCCAACTCGACGATCTCTTCAACTACATCGAGTTCAAGCTCTAGCAGTTCCACGACATCTTCTAGTTCTTCGAGGTCTTCGAGCACGACAAGCTCGTCAACCTCCTCGTCGAGTTCATCCATCACCCCCTCTCCTACGTCGTCTGCAACGAGTAGCAGTAGATCAAGCAGCTCCAGCCCTTCTAGCACGTCGACCTCTATGAGTCCGTCATCGTCATCATCCTCGTCTAGCAGTACGACAAGCTCAAGCACTACAAGCAGCTCCAGCTCCAGCGCTGCGGTCCAATCAACCTCGCCTTTTTCAACCACAAGCTCCTCAAGTTCTACAAGCTCATCAAGTAGTTCAACAAGGTCTTCAACGTCCTCAACGTCAACCTCTTTTACGGCGCCTTTCCCTTTCACAAACACATCCAGGATTGCTTCGACCACCTTCACCCCGGAACCTAGCCCAAGCACGAGCACAACGAGCACACCCGTAACTTTGCCCCCAGTACTGCCGTCTAGCTCCACCACGGTCATCACCTTGCCTTCAACCACCTTGACAAGCATTTTATCGCTGCCGCCATCGGTGACTCCCGTCATCTCTAGTTCGAGTGCATCAAGCTCGTCCACGACTGCCCCTTCAAGCTCCCGGTCCACGACGACATCGAGCTTCTCTTCATCCGCCCCGCCTTCCTCATCATCCACTCAATTGTCGACCTCCTCGTCTACGGTTTTGCCCAACTCACTTATCCCGGTTTCTTCGCCAACTTCCTCGACATCCCTATCCACACCCAGCTCGTCGTCAAGCTCACCAGCGAGTGCCTCAACCACCTCTCGGGCACCCTCATCTCCTGAATCATCCTCCCTGTCTATTACGCCTTCTAGCTCTCCGTCAAGTTCACCAGCCTCACCGGCGAGCTCTTCAGACCCTCAGACACCCAGCACCACAACGTTTCCCAGTACTATAACAACGACACCTACCATAACGAGCTCGAATCTCGTGTCCATTGCAACGACCGAGATCCTGCCAAACACGCCAGTGGTCTTCTCTATTGTGCTTGGAGGAGGTGCTGGGGCTGCACCTCCTGGGTCTGACCCCACTACCACAGCTTAAAGTTGATTGCGTTTCATAGGCTACGTGCAAGTTTTAGTAATGATAATGTGTATGAAGTATTGATTTATCCGATCAAGAGATGACTGGAGAGTCACGTAAGGGGGGCTATTTTCAAGGCTTTGACAACTATTACATGTCGAGAATTGAGACCAGCTCAATTCTTCGGCTTTGCCTAGTACCTTTTGCCCAAACCCAATACAAGGCTTCGATGTTTTGCATCACAATCTAGAAAGCTTCTGAACTTTCAACAAATCTTCCTCATCCGTAACCCGGTTCTCCTTAGCCCACTTCCTCTCCATCTCCGACCCCGTCTCAGGCGGCACAAGCCCATTAATCCTCCACAACTCCCTCCTCGCCTCATAAATCCCAGACTCCCATTCGATCCCTTTTGGCTTCAAGATGGGCCTCAGTATATCATCCAGAGCTTTGAAGAAGAAAGCCTCGACCTGAGGGGTATCGAAGCCGCGCGCAATGTGGTAGATGGAGACGGTCGTCAAGGCCTTGGGCGTCTCCCCGCCGGCGTACATGTTTTCAGGGGTGAGCTCGATGAAGTGCGTGTGGCAGTAGAATCCGGGTAGACCGACGCTGGTGTAGAGCTTGGTCATGCCCTCGGCGATTTGTTTCTTTTCGGCGGTGGTGAAGACGCCGGTGTTGCAGTTGAAGACCCATTTAGGCATTTTGAATCGTTTTTGTTGATTTGATTGATAAGGTGCTGACGATGATTAACATATGTATGGTTGGTGGGAAACTATACATGGATTTATTACAGATTAAGCAACACAAATAGTCTTCTTGATATCCAGACTGGAGAGGCGTCGGCCGGCTTTCGCTATTACCGGCCGATGTGGACTAATACCGCTCCGGGACGGGATCCGTGCATGCCACGACTGCGAGGCCAATGCATATCAGTAATCAGAGCTTCCGAACCAGCGTCGATCAAGAGATGGTGTTTTGAAACGGCACACCGATGTGCCCTCGCAATGCAAACCCCGCAATCAGGTGTTAATGCTCTACTCGTCTTCGATCATTACGCCAAACAGGATCTATGAGCACCGAGGTTCGCGACATTAGTTGATGCTGGATCACAAATACATGGCAAGGAGCAGATATTGGAGACGCGCTGGTGATGCTTTCGAAATTCTCCTGAGTTGCAAACACACATCAACGGTATAGTACTTGCTGCTCTTACGTCGGTAAATTGACCAGAAACCTTTACGCAAATGGCGTACGAATTATCGCGCTATCCATCCCAAGATGGTGCCACTCTACTGTCGCATTTCATTCTTCCGGTGGCATAGCGACGGACATTCACTCTCAAAACGTAAAATTGGCACATTACGACATATCAATCAATCACCATTGACGCATTTAGGTTGTAACGGCAACCGTCACTGGATTCTCATCATTCCCTCGCGCGCCTCATCCTAAATACGTGACTCCCTTGGAACCTGGAAAGCACCCATGGCACCCAAACGCGCGGCTCCCGGGTTGAATCTCTCGGGATACATCTTCAATATCTCCACAAACAGCTCCTTCTCAGTCTTAGGGTTCTTTTCGAGGATCTTTCCAAAGTCCTGTATATACTTCTTGGTCGCAGCAAGGTGCCAGATTCCGTCAGTCTCACCCGCCATCTTGTGACCAGCCACAACATAAGCAGGCTCAAGCGCCTCAACGATTTCGACTGCCCTGATCCATTCCTCGCGCTTGGCTTTCGTGTTGGCTTCCATCAACATCTGGTGGCACTGCCCATAGACTACATCACCGCAGACGGCGAGTCTAAGGTCGGGGACCCAGAGAACGGTTGAGTCATAGGTGTCAGTATGGCCACACTCAATAGCTTTGAACTCCCACCGGTTTTCGAGCTTAAAGATTCCACCACTCTTCGGGGACAGAGGCCGTGCGAGAGTGAAGGGGCGGTAGATCTGGCCTGGGAAGCGGGCCTCCCACATTTGCCTGAAAACTTCATCTTCAATCTGCTGCTCCATGTGTTTGATGGTTCCCACCGTAGCGACGGGAACGGCTTCCGGGAAGCGCTTCAGCAGGAGAGGTATGCCGAACCAGTGATCTCCGTGGCCGTGGGTGATGTAGATGTATGAGAGCTTCCGCTTTGGTGCAATGTTCTCGATCCAGGCAATGAGTTCCTCTGTCTGCTTGATAGTGATGGGCGTGTCTACCAAGACAGCTTCGTTTGCCGAGTAGATGAGGGTGCATGAGATTGGGGACCATGTTGCGGTTGCGTTCGTGCCAGGAACTTTGCTGGGAATCGGCGGTGCGACGTAGACGGCGGATCTCAGGTCGGCCATTTCTATATGACTCGGGTTATTGTAGCAGAATGATGGGTGAGTTTACAGCAATGCGAGTGGCTTCTGCGCAGTAGTTCTAGATATCACAGTGGTTTGACGGACGCTTTTATTCGAATGACGGAAGCCAGCTCCAAAGCCGGTAGGCCTTTTGAAGACAGCCATCACGCCAACCGAGGATCGAGGCATACTGCATGTTGATTAATCGTTTTTTCAAGCTGAGTGCAGCAGTGTAGATCAGATGGATGATCTAGTGAAGTAACTTTGGATAAGTCGTCAGCTTTTTTTAGCGACCAAGAGTCAAAGCGGGGTTGATTATGCGAGGAATTAGAGCACTGCAAGCAAGCTCCCATCTTGACAAGCCGCACTGACATAGTTCCTCAAAGGGAGGATCAAAGGCAACTCAGCACATATGTGCAAAGGAATTCCTATTCCAAGTTCTGGTGGATAGTCGATAATACCGAAACCCGTCCTACCAAAATGGGTTGGGAATCGGATTCTGGGACCGACGACCCCGCCAAACGCCACTTCTCCAGGTTGTAACATTTGAGAGGGGCACAAGGGAGCTAGAAGCCGAGCTAGATAAGACACCGTAGCCTGAGAAAACATGAGGTTACCTGTAGCACTACTGAGTTTGATGTCAATCATCTTTGAAGTGTTACTATCTTCACCGCGATATTCTGGAGAAACATGTAAATGGCCAAGCACTTTTCTTCGGGACAATGCATCCCATCATGGAGTTAAGATAATAATAATGCAGCGGTGGGACTGTGCGATCACTGAGAGCCAATGCTCTCGCACAACAACAGCACATGACTGATCACTGTGTTGACTCCTGTCCAGGTGCTAAAGGCTCTATATGCAAGACCTGAGCTTTCGACTTTGAGAAATTTTATGTTTATGGAATGCATTCAACTTTCATAACGCGGATCACATGTACATTTACCCAACTATCGATTGAGGCATGTAACAATAATTGCACGTGGAAGCTGTTGTGATAGAAATATGCACTTCAATACTCCGAGAGAGTGCATGTACGAGAGCTGCCACTCAGCGAACATAAGCCAACCATCCGACTTCCTGGCAGTACCTTAGCTTTGGAACCGTGTCCGAAAATGGCTTCGCTGAAATGGACAGTCCATCTTCGCTTTCGATTCGACCGTTATGACAGCTCTCTCCGTTCTTGCTGGCGTCTGACTCGTACATCTGAAGCGTAGGGGTAGCCGAGTTTCGTAAGACAACGAGGGATTCACAAGGTTTAAATAATGCTAAACAATTGCATTGAGCAAACGTGAGCAATGTCGTATCTACTGATTTCCAGATGTCGACGATGATAATGTAAGACCGCGCGAAAAGACCCGTATCCCATAGATTCGACCCCTGCGTGGCCTCCGCAAGGGGTCCGGGTCACCTTGAAGCCGACCTGCGGCCGGGATACCGTTCAAGGGGGGCGGACGGGCCCCAGATGAGGTCACTAACAAAATAACCTTAATGCTTAACCCAAACTATGCCTCTGTCACCTCCAATTTCTCCAACCTAACCTCTTTTGACTGCTAACCACCACGACAACCTCCCCTTGTCAGTCTTTCGAAACTTCGGAACCATCCCAAGGCATCATCCTGTTGCCCTGGTTTGGTCCATCAGCTAGGCTTCCAAGTGGAATCTCACCTGATTTTGTTTCGCACAGCCCAATTTTTACGTCTGCTCGCGATCTCCAATTGTGGCTCTTACAGGGGCTTAATCTTGGCGGGGGTTTCGCATCGCCTAACCTGGAGAATTCAACTAGCCCCTCACACGCACTAGGAGCTTGGGACTCGCAAGCTTGGTGAGCTTTCCACCAACGTTGCAATGTAGTGAACCATGCTTCCCGATCATCCATGAACGCCACCACCCACGTTCGTCTCGTCCTCGGAAAGCCTGAGGATATAGCTGCTGACGTGTGTCAGGTTCCGTTCGTGGGGGTGGATGTCTGTGGAGAAGAAAACATTCCCGTATGGCTTCATGCGATACCAGACTTCACTCTTCAGAAGCGCAAAGAAAGAAGAAAGTTGTGCGGCGACCCAGGGGATTTAACGACTTTTGCTACCTGGTTGTCAATGTGTCCATCATGGCATGAACACCAAGAGCCTTGGCCAACCAACATTCTATCACGGTGATCTCTTGGGAAGAATGATTATCGGGATCGACTTGCCATTGTAGAACCTACTGCCTTGGAAGCCGTTTGCAGAGCCACGATCATCCGACGATTCTCAGTTTCATCTTTTCAGCTCAGCCATGAGGAGAACTAGGAGATTTCGTGCTCACGAACGGCAGCATATGATTCCGGACAAGAACTTCTGATCTTAAGGGGTCAACAAAGGCGAGGAAAGCTACCCCCTGTGCCCCCAAGCATACCAAGCCTCCCGTGCATCCGGGCCAAGCCTCGCGACTGCCTGTGCCCTGGTGTTCTTCAACCTCACTTGCTCGTCAGATTCAGCCCTGGCTATACTCCCCTGCGAGAGCCGCAAACCTAAAACAGAGCGTCCCTAGTTTTTCATCCCTTCTTGCGGATCCTTACCATCACTCTTCGGATGGCAGCGCGACATTTGATCCCATCTTGGGTGGTAAGACATACGCAGCTGGCTTGTTAGTCCAACTTGTACCCGATCTTGAATAACACGCTCACCGCTGCCAGGTTGAGTCCAACATCACCATGGACACCATCGAGCACCGCGTCGTCTCTTACACATTCGCCTAGGGCCCTCGTCACAGCACTCCACGAATGACGATACCTCGCGCGACTCCTTCACACCAAGCTCCAACAGTCCCATGCCCAGACCTGACCGAGATCCAGAAAGACGTGCCATCACAACAACCCGTGCATCCGAGATTCCGTGCACCGGATGCTGCGAGCAGCGGGCCATGTTCATCAGCCAAGGCGACGATGAACCAGACCCCTCCTGATATAATGACTTTTCCCCCTTCCATTCTTGGTCTGCAGTGATCAGCAGGACTGTCACCACCTCTTCCATTCACCCGCGCGCCCGTCTTCATTCGTTTCTCGGTAGCCATCTCGTGATTTCATCACTTGGCTACATTTTGTTTACTTCGATTCATTTCATCCAGAGACCGGTATCTCGACTTCGTTCAGACCTCATACGTTCCTTTATTTCTTCTTGTGTCTTTCTTTCTTTGCTCAATAACGACAATCAGCTCAAGTCCTATTACAACAGTCCTTACTACTCGACGAAGACACGATGCTCACACGATACGGAGTCATCTCATGGCTCGCCCTGTCGACTATGGCAGCCGCCAACCCTCCGCCAGCGCCTCCAGCCCAGCAGCAATGCGAGCCCAAGACCGAGACGATTGTACACACCGTCCACGAGACCGTTCATGTTCCTACAACAATTCACAAGACGGTACACGTCACGCTACCGGGAGAAGTGAAGACAGTCCACGTTTCCGTCCCGACGACGATACACCAAATCGAGACTATCCACGAAAAGATACCCGTACACGTCACGGTTCATGTTCCGACAACAATCAAAGAGACCGTACACATTACTCAGCCCCCACAGGTGGTGAAGGAGACAATACACATCACAGAAACGAAGAAGGAGGTCCAAACTCTTCCTCCTCAGGTGGTCAAGGAGACCGTCCACATCACTCAGCCTCCTCAAACTGTGAAGGAGACAATCCATGTTACCCTTCCCCCTCAGACAATCCATGTCACTCAGCCTCCTCAGGTGATTAAAGAGACTGTTCACGTAACTCAACCTCCGCAGGTGGTGAAAGAGACGATACACGTTACTTTACCTCCTCTGCCTCCTCAGACAATCCACGTCACTCAGCCACCGCAAGTCATCAGGGAGACGGTGCACATCACTCAACCTCCTCAAATCATCAGAGAGACTCTTCCGCCTCAAGTCATCAAGGAGACTTTGCCACCTCAGATTGTCAAGGAAACCGTTCACGTCACTCTACCTCCTGTCCGGGAGACGGTCCATGTCACCTTGCCTCCTCAAGTGGTCAAGGAGACTATACATATCACCCAACCACCTCAGGTTATCAAGGAGACGGTTCACGTCACGCAGCCTCCCCAGATAATCAAGGAGACTCTGCCGCCTCTGCCGCCTCAAATAGTCAAAGAAACCGTACATGTCACTTTGCCTCCAGTCAAGGAGACTGTACACGTTACCTTGCCTCCTCAGATAATCCACCAAACCTTGCCGCCTCAGGTCGTCAAGGAGACGGTACATGTCACCCTTCCTCCGCAGGTGGTCAAGGAAACAGTTCATGTCACTTTGCCTCCCCACGTTGTCAAGGAAACAATCCACGTTACGCAGCCTCCTCACATCATCAAGGAGACGATTCATGTTCCTCAGCCTGCGCAGACGGTACACATAACACAACCTCCCCAAGTCATCCATCAAACGGTCCATGTCACCCAGACGGTCAGCCACTGCGCAACAACAATCGCAGCGCCAGTCTTGGGCCACCAACCCTCCCCACCTCCGGCAGTGCATCCCTCAGCGGCACCAGCAGTACCGCCGGTTCATGAAGCTTCCCCGCCGGCCCACACCATGGCTCTTCCGGTCCATACACCTCCACCGGCCGCACACCATGCCCCGGTAGCCCCGCCGGTTCACCAAGCGCCGCCAGCCGAGGCAATGCCCGTTCATACGCCTCCTGCTGAGGCCATGCCGGTACACACACCTGCTGCTGCCCCTCTCGTTCACGAAGCCCCGGCAGTTGCTCCTCCAGCCCACATGGCGCCTCCCACTGAGGCTGCGCCCCCTGCTCATCAGGTCCCTCCCATTGGGTTCACACCAATCAACCCTCCAGCAGAGGCGCCAGCGGCACCAGTCGAACCAGTGGCTCCACCGGCACACCCTATGAAAATGAGATTCATGGCTCGGAGATAATTAAGGTCAACGGATCATCAGATGGAGGGAGACTGACTTTGGAAGTGGGGGTAAAAATCCCATCCAACGTAGATTCTAGAATAATGTGCGCGTATAACTTTCTTACATGTAATCAAAATACTAGATGGTAGCTATGATGCTGGCGAAGTTTGATACCCGGTCAGCCGGCCTTGAATAGATCACTTAATGACTGTCAAGTCCCAAATCCCTGCACTTGAATTTGGAAAATGGTGAGCCAGTCTCTATTCTCTATCTAAAAAGTCGCATGGGTATCTTTGTCCTTTCCCTTCTTTCCAAAATCAAAAAAGTTTCCACCTTCACGCTCCTTGCCCTTCTCGCTGGCGCGGCAAATCTCATCGAACCTCTGTAGTGTCTGATGAATATCAACCTCCATGTTACGGGCGAGATATTCGCCCTCGACTCGTCTAGCAGCAGCAATATTCTGTCGGGTCTTGGACTTGACTGCTGTCCGAATACTCTGGTAAATACCCTGGCCGGGGTACGCGACAATCCCGAGAGTGGCTGTTTCACAAAAGGTTAGCATTCTGAGTCGACAAGCAGGAAGAATTACCTTCGAATACATACCTGATGCCGTCTTTGTGGCCATGTTCATGACGCCCTTGCCGACGCCCAACGCTGCGCCCGCGGCACCTCCATCTCGTCCGCCCTTGTACGGCTGGTAAAACAAGTCGGCGAACCCACCCCCGATTCCGGTCACGAAGTTTTTTCCCCCGACCATAGCGCCGGACTTCCAATCTGTAATGGGAGCGCGGGCCTCGACCTTCTCACCGTAGAGCTTAGGCGCCTCACGGAGACCTTCCGTAACAGCCAGCGGCACATCGAGGTAGAACTTGCCGTAAGACTTGAAGAATGTGCCAACACCGGAAGCCGATGCCTTGAAGACCGCGCCTGTTGTGCTTCCGCAGCCTCGGCCGGCACTTCGGGGTCGATCGAGAGCGTCGGATTGCGGAGGCGCGAGACTCGGGGATCGGGGCGGCGTCTGAACGTCTAAGCTGGAGACGCTTCTGGCGCTTCTCCTCTCAATGTCTTCCATCTCTGCGGCTTTGAGTTTGGTTCGTTGATTGTAGACTTGGACGGGTTTGACGACGATGTCAGTGGCTCCCTTGACCATGCCGTATCCGACCCCCATCAAGGAGGAAACGGTGCCTGTGACGGGATCCCACCGCCGGTTCTCGATGATGTATGTTTTCGTCTCGTGTCTAGAAGTCGGGGTTGTCATTAATACATGTATACACTAAGCAATGACGAAATACGCTCAAGGTTATTGGCACTCACGGTGACATATTTTTCTGGCCAATCTTGAGGTGGTCAAGAAGAATCCCCGCAGCTTGCTTCGATAGTCTGACATGCTTCTTTCCTCTCTTGAACTCCCACACTGCCGGCTGGTTGGGGAAAACATCGCACCGAAGCAGTTCAAGGGGCAAGTTTGCGTGGAATGACTTTACTGCTGTGGCCACACCATTCTCAGTCTTCATCTTGGCCGAAAGTTCGCCAGCTGCGGTCGCGGCTTCCGGTGTGAGGCAAAATCGAATCGCATCAGCCAAGTTTTGGGCGTTAAGCTGCTTGTGTGGAATAGGCTTTGGCCCAGCGCCTGCGATGGCAACCATGTCTCCCCAAAATGGCTGACTGAAAACTGTTAGTTTCGAACTGAATGGGACCCCTCATATCACTCTCCAGTACTCACTCGCCAAAGAAGGGGACGATTGTGGTTGGCCTTCCGTTCAAGAGGCCGCAAGCCGTGGTCCCGGCGCCACCATGGTGGAACACTGCCGCGACGTTGGCAAACAGCCACTCGTGGGGGCAGTCCCCCAGGAACAGGATGTCATCAGCATCGATACCTCCCAGATTACTCCAGCCTTTTGATATAATTGCGCGAACTCCCGTTGCGCGGACAGCCTCGACAAGAATCTTTGTCATTTCGTCGGGGTTGTCGATGACGATACTGCCGAAGCCGATGTAGATGGGAGTCGGTCCATTCTTCAGGAAGTTTGCGAGCTCGGTGGGAGGCTCGTACTGAGGGGGTTCGCGGAAAAAGAAGCCGCAAACATCTATGCGAGAGATCAGTACCATATCCACCTACAGTCTTGCGCAATGGACAAATCTTACCGATATAGGCAGGCCAGTCGATGGGTTTTGGTACAAGTGATGGGGACCAGCAATATGTGAATGGAATCTTCTGCGACTCTGCGAGAACCGGGCCTTCGGAAAACGGCACTTCTTCAAGATCGATCGTCCTTCTCCAATCGTTGATGACATCTCCGAGGCTGTAATAATCATCAGCACGAGAGACCAAAGACAGCCAGACAATTGCTTACCCTTGCCATGTCAACCACTCAACGACGCTGTAGGACACAAAGTTGGCCGTCATCTGGTCAACAACTCCCTTGTCTCCAAACTTGAGATTGGCCAAGGGATGCGGGAATGCTCTCGTGCTACTCCAAGGCATGGTAAACATGAGATGTAGCGGAATACCCAGGGCTTGGGCGCAGTGGACATGTGCGAAACTCGGCGGATTGGCAATAATTGCATCCGCCACGAAAGGTGTACCAGTCTGTGTATCAGGCTCGATACAAGACCTCCAGCACCCTTCCAGCATTTCCTTTACCATCTTCCGCTTCTTCTGAATATCGCCGCCCTTCAAACTCTTCAAGCTCGGGATCAGGCCTGGGTTCTTGACCATGTAGGCCATCAGTTCGGAAGGATCACCGCCGATGGGGTAGAATTCGAGGCCGGATTTGCGGACAAAATCATCAAAGACGTCGTGTGTTGCAACGCGTACTCTGTGGCCGTACGTCTGGAGCTCGTTTCCGAGCGCGATGAAGGGCTGGACATCGCCGCGACTTCCTACAACTTGGATGACGATGTTGAGTTTGACAGGGAACGTCTTCTTCTCGGCGAAGCGCTCTGCTGCTTCGAAGTACTCTGGCGGGGGGCCCTCTGCTGCTGCTGCTTGTGCCAGTTGGGCTGGGTCTTTGAAGTCAGGGACAAAGCGGGCGAGGGTCGTCGCCAGCCGCGAATCGAGGTTTACGTTAATTCTACCGTCCGCTATTGTAATTTTCTCTAATTAGGATGTATTCAAAGGTGTTATTAGATGGGTCAGCTAGGGTTCCTACTTCCGACGCTTTCGCTATGTTGCTGGAGCCCCTCGTTGATCGCCGTCTCGTAGGATGGGAGGTAGTCTTGAGGAACGGGATCATCCTCTATCATTCTGATGGTATTTCGCTTCGACATCTTAGACTCTCGAAGTAGGCTGAGGGGTGGGTTTCTGGTTGACGAGGGTGAAGTTATGGTCGTGTAGTACACAATGTCGACTTAGAAAAAGGGAAATGGGTATCGAAGAGGAAAATATTGAAGGATCGCCGAATCAATCAAGAGCAGAAAGGGGCAAGAGCACGGTATGTTTTCAAGACGATCAAAAGAAAAGTCAATTCCTAAACGTGAAATCACTAACTAGGGAGGGGTCTCGAGGAATTTAGCCTGGGAGTCAAACCAACTTATCAAATATTCAGCTACCGCCTACTACTTACATCATACGCCGCCACATCACCCCTCCGTAGTCTGTAGCCTTAGTCGCATATCTCGTACCTGACTCAGGTTACCCGTAGGGCAAAGCCGAACGGGAGTGCTAAGGGGACTAGGATTCGTAGGGCCGGTAGTTTGAGCCGCGCCACAACGCGCCGAACTGCGAATCCACGTAAAGAGACCGCGTTTGTAAAGGCTTTCAAGCTCTTTTGGGCATATGCAGTTGCGAGGAGCCGCGGACTCGGCAAGTTCCCGTCGGATCAGGGCCATAAAAATCACATGGGTGTGGACATGTTGTCGCGATACGCGCTGGGGGCGCCAGTCGATGCTTAATTACCAGTCAATGTAAGTGGGCACAACCTTAAACGTATCATTGGTTCACTGTCGACCCGCGGGTTGTCGCATTGTCTCGCATCCATGGTGACGAATACGCGTATACGACCAACGCAAAATCCGCGGATAGATCGTTCCTTGCGAGTCGCTAGAACCGTCGCTAGTCTGGAATTCTAAACTTGGACCGCTCCCCACTGCCGCAAAGACTTTGCACATTTCGCCGGATTAGGCACCGTCTCCCGGGCTTTATGGCTTCGTCCTCTGGCCAATGGCTGAATTGGAATCATACGCGTACGGAGAATACCGCATTGTGCTTGATCAACGTGGCTCAGCCCTACTAATACTCCGCGTACAATCTGGAAATCTGCAAATGTCATCCCTCAGAGGCTCAGTCTGCCTAGCGCCAGGGGGCTTCTTCGTGTTGAGGCTGTTTTGCATCGCAGCAACACTCGTATGCAAACACAAAGGGGTAAAGGGGAAGAACTCAAAGATGGACGTAAGGACTTACTTATATCGAGGTCTTTGGACCGATTATGGATGATAATAGAACACGATCAACAAGCTTCTACATCGCCCGCCCACAGCCTTTACACGAACGGAACACAGTCTTTATCGCCTTGAGATTGAAGCTTTCTCTTTCCAACGACCAAGCTAAACTTTTCGGTCCGCCCAAACTCAATTTTGAAGCCAAAATATTACCTAATTGCGCCAAGGAAAGACTCAGGACTTCACGATGGGGGACAACAGCACCACAACAGATGGTGCCTCCACCGGCTTCGTTTTTTACCACTATGAGCCGTCTATGGTTGCGGCAACCGTCTTCATTATCGTGTTTGGGGTTTCTTGTATGCTACACATCTGGCAATTATGTCGACGCAAGACGTGGTACTTTATTCCCTTTGTGATTGGGTGCATATGTAAGTTATCACAGTCCAAACACAACCCCATCCCCAAGCATGACTCGGCTAACATTTCCCTAGTTGAAGCAGTCGGATACGCTGGCCGAGCCATGTCTGCGGGCGAAGCACCCGATTACACCAAAAACCCCTACATTATCCAGTCGATCCTACTCCTTCTTGGTCCCGCTTTGTTCGCCGCGTCGATCTACATGGTTCTCGGTCGCT